GTAGTACAAATCATGAGCTTCTAAGATTAGAGTTTAAAAAGCTGATATGAAATAAATACATCTTCTATTTGAAAAGTACATAAGTAAAATGTCGTGAAATATGAGATAGTTGAAAAACTGTATTTCTTTTTGAAAAATCCTTTTCACAATAAGTAAGATGATTTATTTTCTTTCCAGATAGCAAGTGTGAGATACCTCTCTATGACCACATCTCAATGTGTGTAAAATGTCATGAATGACGTGATACCTTACAGCATGAGGAAAATGCATCTCTATGCATGTATGTCATATATGCATGCTAATGCCATGTATCTCGAACATGAATTATGTACTCACACTACTCAACCTCACTGTACCACACTTTCCACTCATCATACTCAACCACTCGGTACTGTATATGGCCCATACGGCCCAGGGAAATTCATCCCGGAACATATACAACACGAACTATAAGTCACCCAGTATCGAAGTAACACGCCAAATCCATCCTCATGGAGAAGATCCATCTCCAGGTATCAAGTACTTCGGACAAATCCATGTCCAGGGAAATCCATCCTTCCAACTGAATCCGTATTTTTTCTATAAAAAATAGAAGAATTGGTGTGAATTAATATATATATATATATATATATATATATATATATATATATATATATATATATATATATATACACCCTCAACCACTCGGTACTATATATGGCCATGTAGCCCAGGGAAGATCCATGCCAGAATATATATATCACTGACCATCAGTCTCCAGTACCGAGGAAACAGGCCAATCCATCCTCATGGAGAAGATCCATCTCCATACCAAGGGAAGATCCATCCCTGAATATAATCAACCGCGCCCACTGTGGTGTGCAGACTCTGGAGGGGCTCCTACGGCCGAAGCGTTATAACAAGCCAATCATGGCATAAATCAATCAGGCCCTCGGCCTTACTCAATAATCAATAAAACCTGTTGCGGCGTGTATCCCGATCCCATAACTGTCACTCATAATGAGGCTCTCGGCCTCACTCAGTCATCGGTCTCTCCTGTCTCAGCCACGGGCTCACAATGTCATGAAAACTGACCCGGAACAATGATATGATGTATCAATAAGTAACAACTGAGACTGAGATATGATATGAATGCATGAATGTGGCTGAGTACGAAATATCATTGAATTCAATGAGATGACAGCAAAAAACGACCACTATAGGTCCCAATAATATCAGCATAAAGCCTAAACATGATATCTGGCATGATGTACCGCTCATTTATTTTATCAAATGATGAAAAGACAGATATCAATAAAATAGGGTCATTATTCAGTGCCCTGGAATAACAGAGTCACAACTCACAGGGTGCACGCCCACATGCCCGTCACCTAGCATGTGCGTCACCTCAACATCAATCACATAGCACGTAATTCGGGGTTTCATACCCTCAACACTAAGTTTAAAAGAGTTACTTACCTGAAACAAGCCAATTCCGACACCGAGCAAGCCAAGCGATGCTCCAAGAATACCATCAACCACCTAGCGACCTCCGAAGGGCTCAAAACTAGCCAAAAACAACTCAAATACATCAGATAAAGCCCAAGGAATCAATTATAAATGATAAGGATCGAACCCTAAGCTAAATCCAAATCCGACCAAAAATCACAATCGGGACCCGAACCTCGGAACCCGACAAAACTCACAAAATCTGACAACCTATTCAATTACGAGTCCAACCATACTAGTTTCACTCAAATCCGACTCCGAATCGGTGTTCAAATCCTAAAAATTCAATTTTATAAAATTTCTACAATCTTCCCCAAATTTCCACCTCAAAGTACTAATCGGATGATGAAATCAATGATATTTTCATTTATATAACCGAGTTAGAATCACTTACCCCGATGAATCTCTTGAAAACCCCACGAAATATCGCCACAAACTGAGCTCCCTAGGTCCAAAATGTGAAATAATGCCCTAAACCTCATTTATATAGTGCATCCTCTGAACTCCCACTGTGCGGTCCGCACCATTCCAAGTGCGGCCGCACATCCCAGCTCCTGCGGTCGCATAAAAATGGTGCGGCCACACCTTTTGGTGGCGGCACTGCCAGGCTTTATTAGATTTGCCATAACTTTCTCTACAGATGTCCAAATGATGACTTCCTTACCTTTCTGGAAACTAGACACGAAGCGCTACAACTTTTTTTTTGCGTCATCTCACAATTCCTTGTAGACCAAAAGATATAGGCTCCAAAGTCAGACCAGCGGATCTGCAGAACTCCCTGAAGAGTGCGGCCACAGCAAAATTGTGCGGTCCACACGCCTCCTCTGTGGTCCGCATATCTCTGTTGTTATCCACGCTTTCAAAGCACCAGAACAATATTAGAGTGCCGGAAATGTCCGGACTCGCTCAAAACTCACCCAAGGCCTGTGGGACCTTAACCAAAGGTACCATCAAGTCCTAAAACACCATATAAACTTAGTCGAGCCCTCAAATCACATCAAACACAACGAAAACATGCATCACACACCAATTCAAGCTTAATGAACTTGAAACCTCAAACTTCTATAACCGATGTCGAAATATCAAATCACGTCCGAGTTATCTCAAATTTTGCACACAAGTCATAAATGACATAATAGAGCTATTCCGATTTCCGAAATCGGATTTCGATCCCGATATAAAAGTGTCAAATCCCCGATCATACTTCCAAACTTAAATTTCCGAATAACCTGGAAACCAAAACCAACGAATCACATAAGTCATAATACATCATACGGAGCTACTCATGCCCTCAAACAACCAAGCAAAGTGTAAATGATCAAAATGACCGGTTGGGTTGTTACAATGGGCACTTGTGGCACGAGTTGATATGTCATGTTGTTATGATGTTAGCACATGTGAATTATGGTGTGGATTGGTTGTTGTTATACGGAGTATAAGGGTGGCATCTCATTATTATTGACTGTTCAGAGTGATACGGGAGGCTATTGTGTTATTGTCCGGACAAAGTGATAAGGGTGGCTATTATGCGGAGTGATATGAATGGCTATCGGAGTGATACATGTGTGATATTGTCACGGTGGAGTGATACAGGTGTCTATCGGAGTAATAGGGGTGTCTAATGATATTGTCAGGGCGTAGTGATACATGTGGCTATCGGAGAGATAAAGGGTGGTAATGTCAGGGATGATGTATGATGGCCTGGGGGCATTATGTTGATGTTATCCATTTTATTTTGTGAATTTCCTTCTGTATTTTATACCCCTTACGTGACTTGTAGTGTTGCTTCAATGAGCTACTCTATGTCTTTTATATTACTTGTTGACTTGGGCTATAATAGTACACTTGCACAAGCATACGCTGTAGCATGCCACTTATGCTAGTTCAGGAGTATGAAACTTGATATTTATTGATCACGCCCATGTATTCTTGTGTTATCTTCTTTCATTGTGATATTGGGTCTGTGACCTTGCCGGACGGACTGAGATATTGGCATGTGAGTTATCCGTGCGGTGGTAATTAGAAATGTGGGCACAAGGGTCGTGAGCATATGATTCTGGTTTGAGACTCGTGACTTGTGATTACGAGATGAGGTATCTCAGAGTAATTCGATGTGAGACCTGTGTTAGAACGGCTTGATTAGTTGATTGTCATTTGTTCCCTTATATGTTCTTGCTGGTACTTTAATGATGTTCTTATTACTTTATTGTTTAATTCATATGTTGATTCTTCTTGCCATTTACTGATTTCTACTTTCATTATTTGTCATGACCCTAAATTCCCACCTTAGGATGTCGTGATGGCATCTAATCCCTAAGACTAGGTAAGCCTAATACATGCTGAGTTAATAACAAAATTAAACTATTTAATCATTAGACATAAACCAGTATATGACATACATAGCTGCAAACGACCAATAGTTATACATTTTCAAAAATCGGTAGTACGGAGTCATAAGCTCTACTAAAATACATTAGAATTTCTAAATACTATACTGTTTTGATTTACAATTTAATAGTAGCATAAGGAAGTAAGATGGTGACTCTGAGGCCTGCGAGCATCAAGCAGGTATACCTTGAAGTCTCCATCGCGCAGACGCAACTCTCAACATCACGATCAGAAATACCTAGATCTACACAAAAATGTGTAGAAGTGTAGCATGAGTACACCACAACGGTATCCAGTAAAAATCAAGCCTAACCTTGGTAGAGTCGTGATGAGGCCTGGTCAAGACATCTACTAGACATAGAAACCTGTACAAGATATACATGAAGCTAACAATGAAAGAACATCAATGTAAAGCTAACAACGGAAAGATAATTTCTTTACAACCAACGACGAAAAAATACACAAATGGCAGCAAGTAGTAAACGGGTAATAGAGAAGCAATTGTGATGACCCGATATGTCATTTTGAGTTTTAACTTTTATTTCTATGTTTTGAGACCTTGAATAGCTCCGTTTAGTGTTTCTCAATTTGCGTGCGTAATCCGCATCTTTTTTCGAAAAAATTTTATGTGAAAATTTGAATAAAATGTGAATTTTAGCCTTGAAAATAATTTGAGTTGACTACGCTCAATATTTTTGTATAAACGGAACTGGACACTATTTTGACGGTCTTGGTGGGCCCGTATCGTGATCTGGGACTTGGGCGTATGCCCGGAATTGAATTAGAAAGTCCCTAAATTGATTTAACATGATTTGTTGAAAACTAATAATTTGAAGGTTTAAAGAATTAATAAGTTTGACCGTAGGTTGACTTTTTTACTATGGGGTTTGAATTTCAGTTTCGGAACTTGGCATAGGTTCATTTCACTATTTATGACTTGTCTGAAAAATTTGGTGCAAAATGGAGTTGATTTGACGTGATTCGGACGTCTAGTTGTGAATTTGAAAGTTCTTAAGTTTCTTTGAAAATTTCATATATTTTGATGCCCGATTCGTGGTTCTAGGTGATATTTTGGTATTTTGATCGCGTGAGGGAGTTTGTATGATGTTGTTACACTTTTGTGCATGTTTGGTTTGGATCTAGAGGGGCTCGAGTCAGTTTCGGACGTGTTTCGGGTGGATCCGGTTAAGGTTGGAATAGCTGGTGCACTTCTGGTGCTGGTTCTCTACTACAGATCTCGCATTTGCAAGGTCTGGCTTGCAATTGTGAGCCTCGATTTTGCGAACAAGTTTTTGCATTTGCGAGCATGGGCTGTATTTGGTGGTTTCGCATTTGCGAGGATTATGTTCGCATTTGCGAACTGTCAGCGATCGCAATTGCGGTCTTAGAGTCGCATTTGCGACTCAGTAGTCCTTATGCCATCTTCGCATTTGTGAAGAGATGGTCCGCATTTGCGAAGGTTGGGAGTTTGCATTTGCGAACCAAATGTCGCATTTGTTACTTCTATGAACCTGAGACAGGTTTTGCGTTTTTGACCCTTGTCTCGCATTTGCGATGTTCGCAATTGCGAACAACACATCACAATGCGACATCCGCAACTGGGTAAAAGAGGGAAATAACAGGACTTAGCTTATTTCTCACAATTTCTCAACCCTAAACAGCCTAGAGAGCGATTTTTCAAGATAGTTTTCTTCCCAAATTAATTGATAAGTAACTTTAATCCATTTCTTTTCAGTTACCCATTACATTTCATGAGATTTCAGCATCAAATCTAGGATTTTCATGGTAGAAATTAGAGATTTGGGTAGAATTGGGGATTTCTATAAAATTGAGATTTAGACCTTGAATCGGGGTCGTATTTCGAAACAAATTAAAAAATCGGGCTCGGGAGTGAATGGGTAAATGGGTTTTGCTTTTTTTTGAATCTCGGGTTTTAACCAAGCAAGCCCGGGGTTGACTTTTGTTGACTTTTTCAAAAACATTAAAGATTGAATCTTTTTCACTCGTGGGTTGTTTCTAAAACTTATTTTAGATTGTTTGAACTATATTTGGTTAGATTCGATTGCTTTGAAGGCTAAATCTACAGGCAAAGCATCGGTTGAGCTTTGATTTGATTATGGAGCGAGGTAAGTACCGTGGTTAACCTTTACTTGAGGGATTAGGACTTTTTAGTCTATTTGCGACGTGTTTTATGTGTGGGGACAACGTATATGTGAGGTGACGAGCACTTATACGTTGTTATTGGGTTAAAGCATGCGGGTAGAACTTATTTCTTTGTATTTTGTTGCTTTGCTAATTATGATATCCATGCTTAGGTTAGGTTATTGCTTCTTTGATTATTCGTTTTGTAATTATTACCTATTTCATAGTTATTGAATATTTTTAATAGGCTAGGTTATCTTCTAGTTGTACTATTTTCCTTAACACTTTTAATTCAAAAAATAAATCTAAATAATCAATATTGGATTGATTATTGTGCTTCTAGGAACATTCAAGATTAAGGTAATTTTTTTTCAAATTTCCATCATCTAGCGATCTCAGTTACTTACCACTAAATAGAAATCAAAAATATTTTCATATGCTTCGAATTGTTCAAATCTATTTTGAAGTTAAAAAAATAGCCTTGTTTACTATGTATAAAAAGTAATCTACTCTAAAAGACTCTTCGAGAGATTTTGAGATTTCATTATCAACATTCTCATCAAATTATTTTTTTCCTATATATCACACGTTTCTTACGAAATTCGAGTTTGATGTTCATTTCAAATGCAATTTCCTTAGCAGAAATAATAGCAGTTGTAAATCCTTCTTCTTTATATTTGTTAAAGAAAAAAATCAGACATTTTCACTTCACATGACTTTTCTTTAAAATTTATATATAACATATTAGGTGTAAAAAAAATGGGGAGAAATTAAAAAATAGCCAGATTTACAACCAGTCGTTCAAAAATAGCCCAATTTCAAAAGTAATCGAAATTTAGCCACTTTTCATGTAAAGATAAATCTGAGCAAAAACACTGTTCAAAACCCGAAAAATACTCCAGTATATTATGCTGGAGTTCCAGCATAAGTATTTGAACTCCAGCATATTATACTGGAGTTCAAGATAAGTATGCTGGAACTCCAGCATAATATGATGGAGTTCCAGCATAATATACTGGAGTTCCAGCAAGTATACCGGTCCAGTATAATATACTGGAGTTTGGAGCACCGGTGCTCCAGTATCCAGTATATTATACTGGAGTCAGCAAAGTATACCGGTCCAGCATAATATGCTGGAGTTCATACACAGGTGCACCGAACTCCAGTATATTATGCTGGACCGGTCTCTATTGCAGCAAAATAGTGGCCATTTTTCATTGACTTGGTAAACGCTGGCTATTTTTTAATGACCAGTCCGAAAACTGGCTATACCGTGCTATTTTAGTACCTCGAGCAAGTTGCTTTTTCTCTTATAGGCAAGTCTCTCAAAATCCAGGAGAGTGGACACCCTCTCAGCGTGTTTTTTCAAGCAACAAAAGGTGCCAGCGTATGATTAAAAAAAAAAATAGGCCTAATACTCTATGTTATATCCTGATAGTTGATACATTCTTAATTGTACTAAACTCATGAATAATATACTTGAGGGAAGATAGTATTGTTTTCTACAATTTGAATTTTACTATTTCCATTTTCCCATTCTACTTGTACTTGGTCGACACATCAATCCTAAAATTAGAAGCAAAATCTTTAGCTTGATCAGTTCAAAATCCTAAATATATTAGGAGCACTGTATTAACCAAAGATCCTCAAGAATGGTTCTTGATTATGTCTTTATACATAATTGTAATATCCCCATAATTTTAATGAGGACATATTGGTCATTTCATAAAACTAATTAACCAAAAAAAAAAAAAAACAATGATTGGGCCGTCGCCCATCAGCATGGATAACATGAACTAGGTTAGTAGAGAAACTTTTCCCCAAATATAAAGAATCTGAAACAAAAAAAAAAAAAACCGAGAAGGAGCCACAAAGCTTCTGCAAAAGAAATATTTACCATCATATGCAGAAAGCATTGCAAGAAAATTTAAGAGAGAATGGATTCCTCTGGCAGAAAGTTTTACAATGGAATGAGAAGAGGAATTTCACCTCGATTTTGTGTAGGTATACACATAAACAAAACACACACAGTGAATAAAAGAAAGAGGTAACGTTGTATTCTTAATTTTACTTTTAACTAGTAATATTATATACATAATCATTGGCTTGAGTTAAATTGTGATACTAGGATTAATGTTGGTATTTAATTATAATGAATATCATTAGACATGAATTATTTTATTATCATCATAAAATTGATTAATTGATGAACGTTTCATGAACTGGGAAGAAAGAATTACAAAGAAGTATTTGATAAGTTCACTGGTAGCCTAACTAAGCTTATTACGAATGGAACCACGAGGAATTTGGTACTTCACGAAGTTGACACTTAGACTCGTGTTTGTCATAATATAGATTGATCGAGGAAGTCGTATGGACTGCCCGAGTTGGCACGCTTGGTATTTCGACACGTGTACTGTGAGTAGTAATCTTACCACAATTTGTGTTTTCATAACCTACATGGTTTATATATGATTTTGAAAATAAATGTATTACCGATGCTTTGAAATTTGCATGTGGGACAAGTCTTTTACTTGATATGACACCGAATAGTTTACTTGAGATGTTTACCGATTAATCAAAATATTTTCACTGTTACTAGATATGTTTTACCGTTACTTGAGACATGATTACTGTTACTGAAATAAAATTACAAGATTTGATAAGGAATGATATGCCCTTTATTATTTTGAAAATGCTTTTGTACGAGTATTTACTATTTACAAGAAAGAGTATAAATGGGAGGAGACTTTGAAGGATCCCGTAGCTAACGGCGGGTTCGTTAGACCTGGTGCACCTTGTATTTACAAATTACCGATTACCGATTACAGTTATAGCCCTCGCTAGTGGGAAGGTAGAACTAGCATACAGTTACAGTTTTTCCTCGAGTAGGGACCTACAGTTATACTTGACTCCTTTTATGAAGGGGTCCACACAGTGATACAGATTATATGATCCTTTTCTGAAATCTCCCAAATATAAAGATTTACTATGACACAGTATTTACCGAGTTTATTACTGAATTGTTAGATTGATTTTGTTACAGGAAACACACGATGAGATTGATTATTATTACCATTTTAAAAAGGGCATTTTATTTTGTGATTATTATGCAAGCATGTTTTCTGACTTGTCCCCAAATAAAAACGGTTGTGGTTAAGTGTTATTACTCACTGAGCTAGCGACTCATTCCCCGCTAATTTTTTCTTTTACAGAGACAGCAGTTGACGCAGGCGAGGATTTCGTTAATTAGAGCACACAGGTTGAGAATTCTTGGTGAGCCTCACACTTGTTCGCGTGGGCGGAGATTTTTATCAATTGTTATGGTCGTTTCATTAAACTCTTAGAGTCGCTCCATAGTCAATAATTTAGTGTCATGAGTATTCTTTTGTTAGTATAGTCTTATGTTGAGTATCGTCCTTTATTATGAAAGTTGGAGGTAAATTAGTATTTCTGGTTGTTAGTGTGTTGATTAGTAATGGTGGAGACTTATTTTGGCTAATTGGTAAGTTGTCAATTGCCAGTTGAATTGTTATTAGGTTGTTTGGTTGCTGATTTGAGATAGAAAATTTTTGAGATGGTCCAAAAACAGGGAAAACTCTGCCCGATTTTCTGTAAAATTACCGATGAGGCTTACTTGGGAGCACTTGCTTCTAAGCGCCGGTCACGATCCTAAATTGGGTCGTGACAATAATAAGGTACGTTTATTCCAAATCATTGTAGGTAATTAAACTTCCAACAATGAACAAATGAAAAAATACTACTCCCTCCGGTCCACTTTAATTAATTTTTGTTTGTTTCATACATATTAAGGAATTCATATTTTTGCATTAATTAACAATGAAATTGACCATATTAATCTTAATTTGTTCATTGGAAATATTCCAAATACTCCTAAGCTCTTTACTCCAAGGAAAAATTTAGAAAAAAGAAGTCAATTCCTTTTTGATATCTGAAAAAATCAAATATTATGGACCGGGAAGAGTATCATTTAAGCTATATACACTGACATATAAAAGATATCTACACTATGCCAGTGTAGTATAACCGATTATATCAAATTGATTACCATCTTTATCAGGTTACTATGTATTACTTATCATAGGGATTTAATTAGTTGTAATTACCGTATAAATGATTTAAAGGGTAAACATTTTAGTTTTTATTTCGGGGTCACATTAGGGTTTCATATACGAATACTTTAACCTTAAAATCGTTCGCCCATCGTCTCGTCACTGTCTTCGATACTTGATCCATTCAAGTCTAATTCATTATAAATAATAGCATGGAGGCACTTTTTTTTAACTTGCTTATGTACTTGATAATTACTTAATCTTAATTTGAACTGGTCAAAAAAAGAATTAAGTTGACAATATTGAGTTTCATATGCTATAGATATCACCTTCTATGTTGCTAATTTCCTCACCAAGAAATTCAAAAGACAAAACAAGCTACCCAATATATGGCAAAATACACAGCCTTCGTTGCCCTCATCTTCTGTCTTCTCCTTGTCGCTGCCACTGGTGAGTCAACAACTATCTTTAAGCATACTTGTAAATTTAAACAGACTAAAAAAAAATAGTATCATATAAAATAGAACGAAAAGAGTACTAACTAAACTTGATTTCAAATTTTCCTATATATTCGTGCAGAAATGCAAATGGCAGAAGGCAAATACTGTTGGAAGAAAAATCACAAGTGGCACGGGCCTTGCCACTACTCCTATAAATGTAGCCAGCATTGTAAGCATTGGTTTGGAGCTAAATATGGAATTTGTAAGAAATATCAATGGGGACATAAACATCATCACTGGGGAAAATATGCTTGTTATTGCTACTCTCCCTGCCATTAATCATAGTTTCAACGATTGGCTTGGACTGCTAAATATATTATAAATAAGAAAGCTGACTTTTTATGAATGCAGAGTACTAAATACTGCATCAAGAAACAGTTGGTGTGATTTTGTTGTGTGTTTGTGTCGTGTGACAATGTAATAAGTTTTGTTGAGGCTAGCATGACCTTTTGGTCTAGCTTTGCCTGAAAAAGTATGTTGCTTTTATATAATTTTATGTTTTTATGGGTGTTAACATCAAACTTGCTGTGAAAAGTTATATATTAATTATCACAAGTCAACCTAACCTAAATACCTAATTATATAAAACTTCTTTGCTATGTCAGTACACAGAGCATAAAAATTTATAGGTTTATGTAATGGACGATGTGAACCTAGTTTAGGAATTTGAATAGATATGTGGGAGGACAAGCCAGCAACACATATAACACGAAACCTCTTTTTATTTGCGCAAAAAGAAAGTACTAATTTATCAAGGTTAAGCGACAGATTGAGATATGAATACATATTAAGTAATCATGATTAAATGATGAACATTATGTAAAAGGTATATGTTCCTCGTACGTCTCTTACATGTCAAGGTTCTCATGTAAGATTTATTTTAGCTGGTTTAATTTTCTAAGAGTCCTAATACCCTTAGATTGTAACTATATGTATTGTTTATGATCAAGTACCAACGGAAATGTGATAAAATGTTTTAAGAAAAATCCCTAAGCTTTTGTCCCGTCTTCACAAATCGTAGAAAATTTTCCAACTTTGGACTTCCAAAATTGTCTCTACCTTTTGGGACCTTATCAAAATGCAACACCTTAACGAATGAAAAACTTTTGTATTTTAAAGTTGCAATAAAATTCGGAGCAAAAACAACGGATTGTGTACCTTAAATTCGCAGTGGATATTGTTGTTGTTGCTACCAAAAGAATCTACCCCAAGTCTCCTTTGATTTCACTAGGAAATCAAGGTTAAAGTACACAAACTAAATGTTTTTTAGTGTGATGATGTAATCTAGAAAGTCGGGATTGCTTTGTCTTCTTTCTAGTTTTTCCTTTTGTTTTCTACGTAATGTCTCTCGTGCTCTCTCTTTTGAAGCAGAATAATTCCCCTTTTTATTAGGAGAGGTTGAACAGTTATCAAATAACTGTTCCCTCTCCTTTTCAGAAAGAATTTGAACAGTTATAATTGTTCCCTCTCCTTTTAAGGATAAGGTTGAACAGTTATAACACAATTCTTCATCCTTTATTTAGAAAACCAGATAATCCTTTATTTACGTGTCAAGTAAGATTGGATCGGGTCGGTTCACATGGGCAACCCACGATCCCAAAAACTTACATCTCCCACTTCGCACATGGTGGACAAGACCCAAGCCAATATTACATCAACTAGACACACAATTCGTACGACAAATAGTTCATGCGACCTGTGAGCATCAAGGCTTGCCTTCAAGTTTTTATAAGCCCTATATAGGAATTCAATCACGTATTGAAAGAATTTACTTTTAATACGAGGATATCAGTACTCATAATGCCCCAGACTTCACTACTTCAGTAGTTACTCATTCGATCCCTCATCCTCTTTAAGAGGTGAACTCGAGTTCAAGTTTAACTTTATATACACAATTACACTCGACATCTATATGGTCAGTGTAATAGCCGGCATGTGTACACAAGTCAGATTATTTTAATTTAACTGTCTTACCTTTCTACTCGAATCGATCTGTTCCAAATCAACTGCTTTTCTAGACATGCACTGCACTGCTGAATCATTCTTGGCTATTAGTGATATGCTAAAGTAGCAATATTGATTGAAATTTCAAGAAACAGTAAAAGGTCAAAGGGTATTCCAATGAAAAGTTAATTTTAACTTTTCAGGGTCTCACACAATGAAGAAGTAGGGAACCATTCTTTCATTAACCCATTGGTCGCTTAACACACGTGGTATGAAACACATGCTATGATGTTCTCACCTTATCCTAGTGCATGTGTCTCATTTTTTTTAATTATCCAATGTCGTACAGACCTTGGTCTAGACACCTCTTGATGTCTAACCCGAGTTTCTCTCTTCAGTGATCCTCAAACTCATTTTCTTAGGACTCTTGTCTGGTTTATAAAAACAAGTCATAGCATGATAGTGAAAATTATCTCTTCACGTTCTCTGACGTAAGAGGCGATTGCTCGTGTGAGAGAGCCAATCTCGCGACTTGTCCGACACATTTTATTTCTAAAACATTATCACATGCATATGAGACATAAATTCAATAGTCTTACGTTGATGAGAATATCATAACAACAAAGTTGTTTTACAATACATAAATATCATCATTTCCTACGCAAACCTAGAGCCTTAACATGTTTTTCAAACAGGTCTCTAGATATGGCCTTTGTAAAAGGATCAGCTATCATTTCGCGAGTAGGAATGTATTGTAAATTCACTTCTCCACTTGCTACTATGTCTCTCACAAAGTTATCTTTGATATCAATGTGTTTGGTTTTACTGTGATACTTAGGATCCTTTCTATATGCGATGGCCGCCTAACTGTCGCAATATAAAGTCATGGGACCCTTAGAATTCTTGCAACATTCAAATTCTCAAAGAATCTCTTTAACTAAACAACTTCTTGTACTGCAGATGCACAAGCTACGAATCCAGATTCCATGGTTGAAAGAGCTGTGCAAGTTTGTATCTTATTTTTCCATGAACTAGCACCACCATTAAGTAAGAAAGCATAACCAGAGGTTGATTTTCTATCATTCCAATCACTAGCTCAATCATCATCTGTGTAACCTCTCAAGAGTAAATCAGATCCACTATAACATAGTGAATAATCTACAGTTCCCTTCAGATATCGGAATATTCTCTTCACTGCCTTCCAATGATCTCTTCCGGGATTAGATTGATACTTGCTTACTAGACCTACGACATAACAAATGTTTGGACGAGTACACATCATAGCGTACATCAGACTCCCGATAGCACTAGAATATGGAACTCGAGACATGTCTTCCTTTTCTTTTTCAGTCTTTGAACACATTTCAAGGCTTAAAGTTTCACCTCTTGCTATTGGAGTATCCATAGGCTTGCAACTATTAATTCGAAAGCGTTCCAAAATTTTCTATATGTATGTTTCTTGAGATAGACTCAAAAACATATTTGGAACGATCTCTTTGAATTTTAACACCTAATATATAGTCTTCTTCACCCATATCTTTCATGTCAAATGACTTTGAAAGCCACGACTTAACAGTTTTTATATACTCCAAATTATTTCCGGCTAATAAAATATCATCCACGTAAAGAGAAAGAATTACAAACTTCCATTGGACTTTTTCACATAGATGCAATGGTCTTCATCAATCATGGTGAAATCAAATGAAATAACCTCCTTATGAAATCTCAGGTACCACTGCCTTGAAGATTGCTCTAGGCCATAAATTGATCTTTTCAACTTACAAACTTTCTTTTCTTGGCCTTTAACAACGAAGCCTACAGGTTGTTCCATGTAGATTTCCTCGTTTAGTTATCCATTGAGAAAAGCGGTCTTCACATCAATTTGGTGTAATTCTAGATCTAAACATGCAACAATAGCCAAAAGTAATCGTATAGAGGAAAACTTCACAACATGTGAAAACATTTCCTCATAATCTATTCGAGCTTCTTGAGTAAAAAAACCTTATGCCACCAATTGTGCTTTGTGTCTTTCTATTGACCCATTCGATTTGCATTTAACTTAGAGAATCCATTTATTCCCAATAGCTCTACGTCCCTAAGGAAGGTTAACTAGATCCCAGACTTTGTTGGTTTTCATGGACTCTAATTCATGTGGTAACCCAAGAGGTCATCACTTGATTTACAAGTTAATTCTGTGTTCCGAGGCCTTAAAAGACTCCTTTTATCTCACCTCAATTTGCGTGCGCGGTCCGGGCGTATATCCGAAACGCTTTTATGTGAAAATTTGATAAAAATGCTAATATTGCCTTTAAAATTGAATTTAAGTTGATTTCGGTCAACATTTTGGGTAAACGGACCCGGACCCGTGATTTGACGATCTCGGAGGGTCCGTAGAAAAATATGGGACTTGAGCGTATGCTCGAAATTGAATTCCGAGGTCCCAAGCCCGAGAAATGAATTTTTGAAGAATTTTGTTTAACTGAAATTTTAAGAGTTTTTGGAAATTTAAATTTGTTTCAATTTGAAGGTATCGGGCCCGTATTTTGGTTCTGGAGCCCGGTACAGGTCTTATATGGTGTTTAAGTTGTGCCTGTAAAATTTGGTTAAAAACGAACATGGTATGACGTGAATCGGACCCTCGGTTGTTAAAATTTTAACGTAAGAGTTATTGAGATTTTTTCTTTGGTTTTGATGCTAAACTCATAGTTCGAGGCTGTATTTTGGCGATTTGACCGCACGAGTAAGTCCGTATGATATTTTTAGGTTAGTGTACATGTTTGGTTTGGAGCCCCGATGGCTCGGGTGAGTTTTGGGTGGAGTTCGGGATGTTTTGAAACTTAGAATTTCTGCTGTCATAGGTGTTGCAGGTGCCCTGGTAATTCCTTCTTCGCGTTCGCGAAGGAACACTCGCGAACGCGAAGAGCAAAGTGGGACTGAGGGAAAAATTCGTCTACGCGAACTCGAGACACAGGACGCGAACACGAAGGCTTGGGGGTGTTACCCTTCGCGAACGCGGACCTGCTATCGCGAACGCGAAGGCCTTTTTGGCAGGGAACTGGGGGAAGGGAAAATGCTCTACGCGAACGCGGCAGTTGGCTCGCGAACGCGAAGGTCAGGGGAGGTGAACCTTCGCGAACGCGTTCAGTACCTCGCGAACGCGAAGGCTCTTCTAGCCAAAGCTTCGCGAACGCGACCGACCCTTCGCGAACGCGAAGGAGGTCTGTCCAGCAATTTAAAACAGTAGCAAAAACGGGAATAAGCCCTATTTTCACATCTCCTTACCCAAAATCAGAACCTAGGCATTTTTTGAAGAGCAAAATCAACACCAAATCATAGGTATGTGTTCCTAAACCTATTTCCTTTATTTTCCATCAATACCCATTAGATTTCTAGACCTAAATATTTTTCTTCCATGGTAGAATTAGGGGTTCTGGGTAGAATTATGACTTTTTGAATAATTGGAATTTAGACCTCGTTTTTGGGGTCGGATTTCGAAACTAATTACATATTCGGGCTCATGGGTGAATGGGTAATCGGGTTTTGGTCTGAACCTCGAGTTTTGACCAAGCAGGCCCGG